ACTTTGGACATTGTTTATAACGGTTATTTTTACAGTGAGTGATGTAGATGCAGGAGGCTATACAGCTTTTACGGCGATAAAAACGATCGTCAAACCAATTAAGGTAACTAAATATTGTATCATTATTCACCCAAGTAGTGTATATTCAAGGCATGGTTCAATTATATCTGTATGTTTTGCTCATTTACAAATGAGTCACAATATGCTTATTATATGCTTATTATGCGATAATTTTGTGCGCTATTGTTAGCAGTGATACCAATAATAACAGATAATTCACAGAGTATTTCCGAAACCCTACACACATAATACTTTCTTTCATTGATTTCATTATTTTATTTCAAGAACGCAGCTGTATTTTGGTGGAATTTGCTTCCATCTGGTGAGCGTGATTACAGAACTTTACATGCAGCGTGTCCTGTACTGTTAGGCTCTAAATGGGGTAAGACTTTCAACAATTCAATATGTTCAAATAATATATATTTATATACAACTCGTTTATCACAACACTGTATTCATATTTTATTTATATTTAATTTTAGTGGCAAATAAATGGATACACAATGGTGGACAAGAATTTAGAAGACCATGTAATCTAGCGCCAGACAAAGGAGATACTTAGGTTTAGTACATGTATGTCTGCGAATAGATATTTGAAAATGATGTAATGCTATTGTGCAAAGCAGTTATTCAGGCATGTTTAGCAAGTTCTGTATTTACACAAGGTGTGTGCAATAATGCAATAAAGAAAGTCATTTCGTTTTGCAGATAATATTCATGTTATGTTTTTCCGAAGCAACCTGTTCTGGGGGTATTATTTGTGATGCAGAGACCGTGCATCTAGTTCGTCTATACCACGTTCACATGTGCGCCACAGAGCCGGCTTGAATAACCTTGTAACAATCGTTACCAGTGGTATTAATTGGCCATGTGTTCATACTCAGACCACTTGTTATCGGTTGCCATGTTTCTTTAAAATACTTACAATGAATCGAATTCCAGAGCTAGGCTTACAT